GAAATCTGATATTTTTAAGTGTGTCGCGAAAAGCTCGAGATACAAAGCCAACAAACATTCTAAAATAAAAAAAATTCTCGTATAGAAAATATGAACAGCTGCTCATTGATAATAAATTAGTATCTATCTAATTTTAAGAGACTTTGACTTTTAAAAAAGAAAAATTTTAATTTAAGATTTAGTTATCACGTACTTACTTTTACACTATTAGTCCCAAATGACTTCCGGTTGACGTATCTATACCGTTGTCAAGGCCACAAAGCCATAACATTCTGACCTCCAGGAGGTTTTAACCGTCGTTTATTGTTTAGTAAAAAATTGTTAACAAAGAAAGCTTTATGCGGATCAAAGTTTGAACATAAAATAGCAATAATAATTTCAGAGTATTAGACACATTGTATATAAGTATTACCTATATCGTACACGCACTTAGCAAACACGCAAGTCTTTATATAGGGTGTTCAAAAACGTCGAAGATTAAAAATGCATAAAAAAAGAGTTTTACACGAGTTTACAAAAATCCGCGCGAAGCGAGGTGCAGTCTGGATACTTTTAGGGTCTGACGGGATCTATAATTATATGGTTCCACATGGGTTTGCAACTTTTTGCATATGTAGAAATTTATTTTTGTCTGCGTATATTGTCTGACGTTTCGCGTAGAATGTTGCAAACCCATATGGATGAAATATAATTATAGACTTCCTCACATATACATCGAAAGCATCGGGCGATGTGGGCCGTATTATATAGGATGTTCAAAATAAATTCATTGCTTGAACAGCCGAATTTTCATTTATTAATAAGTCTTTATTAACAATGAGCGGCAACTAAAATCTCTTTAAGATTACTCGGAAACTTTACCTTGACAATCGGAAATTATCTGAATCTGATGATGACGGTGTAAAAATAAATAATTACCTTGTACTAATTAAATATTGATCTTCTCGTAAATGTATTTTTTACTAATCTTACAATTTATCTCTGTTCTGTATAATTTAACGTAATTATGTTTGTTATACGAATAAATTTACATATCAACGTCGTATTGTATGGCTTACAAAATCGGCAATCCTGTGATTTTCCAACCGCACGTTCCTATAACAAGTTGCAAAAGCATTGCAGGAATTGTTCGCGAAACCTTTAATGCGCCGCCATCGATAACTTCTACCTTGGCTGCCGCTTAATTATGGAGAATGAAACGCCCGTTCGAACGATCACGCCGTTACGTCAGTAGAAAACGTGATTTCGCTGCATCCAATATGTTTGTCGACAGTTCTAAAGCGGATATTCCACCGAATTCGGCAAAATTAATGTACTACGTTTACGTCAAATCTCCGTCAAAGCAATGTACGGCCTTTTTGCCGAATATGGCGATTCACAATTCATTAATAATAATTATATGTACAATGATACTAGACGGAAAAAGCATTAGCCTTTGTTTTCGGGCGAAAGAGACAACAGATATTGACCGCGTACAAAATATTTATTCGTAGACGTACAGTCCTCTCAGACATCTAACAAATATATGTTTCCCTCGTAAACATGGTGTGGAAAATGTATGTAGATATGTGCTAGACTTAACGAACCGTGTCGGATTCAATGGGATATCCACTTTAAAATCTATGAGTTTCTAACGAGGAAACGCACGAAAAAGGATTAGTCATTTTTGATTTTTATAAATCTGTAGAAAAAGATAGTTATTGAATACCCATGCGAGAAAATAATCAGATTTTAATATAATTATTCCTGTGTATGATAAAAATTTCAGATTTAATCAGAAAAACTTGAAAAATGCGTTATATCTGTTTTTACATTAGTAATAAATAATATGTATTATTTTTGCTGTTAGTGGAAAACATATGTAGCGTATCTATAAAATGGTAATCAACAGATATTGTGTAACACATATCATTTATTCTTATTAACATCGATATTAATACTGTGTTACTTTTTCGCGCTACTCTAATAATAATAGTAATAATAATAATAATAATAATAATAATAATAAGAGAAAGAAAGAGGAAGAGTAACAATGTTAATATGATCTTTTGAAACATTTAATGAATCAAATTACAATTCTTTCTAATAAATATATATATATGAAATTATTTAAAGCAATTAAATATAACTATTGAACAATTAACTATAACAGGAAAAAAAATGAATGAATTAAAATTATAAAAATGTAAAGTCTTTAGTATTGCATTTAATTTAATTATCGTCTCGTTTTACTTGGTTTTACGCGATATAATTATTTTCAACTCAAGATATGATAAAAAATAAATTTAATTTCGCAAATTGACGATAATTTATAAACACATGTGATAAACACTTATTTATAGGATTAGTCATTTGTACGACCGGATCGATTATGTGGAAAGTTTACTCGTATATTTTGTTTATCTATTGTAACACCGCGATAATCACGAGTAACACGATAAACCGGAATTAATTGCATTATTAGATCATCTTGTTTCTTGGGAATAAAAATGCTTATCTGATTTATCTACATAAATTTGATCCTCTTAGACTTATTAATGTTATCTGAAGTTTCAGCTCGTTGATAATATCGCGATAGTGATGTTATTTTTATGTAACGTCATTTTTTTAAATTACAAACAAGATGTTTTTCCATACATCATCGTATTTCTCAATATTTAAGTAGTCAATGTATTTTATCATTACTTTAGCGAGAACAAAAAAAATAATGAAATTCTTAATCAGCCTTTTTTGTGTTATTTTATTAATTCGATATTACAATCGCTTTAAAATTGTGTCATATTAACAACTGTATATCATATTGCATAGTAATGCAAATATTGCATATTATATTGCATATCAATAATATAATATGTGACATTAATATATTTAGAGCGATTAACGCGAACGCGCTGACTGAAAAACATCTTTTAGTAAATAATAAATTTGTTTGTAGCCAGTTGTAAAACTTGTGATGCTGGCTGATTCTATTTTTCATATTATGATTTCGAGAAAATCCGCTGTTAAACAACAACAACAAGCAATTGTTAATAACAATATTTAAATTGTCAATAATAATTTTTTTTAACAATATGACAAAACAACACATAGTAATTTGTTGTAATGACATTTAAAATCAGTTACAAACTATTAGTAATTTTTTTGGATATTTTAAAAAAGATTCACGAAATATAGAAACTTTTCTCTATACATCCAATTTTTCCCCCAATGCTTGTATATTGTTACAATAATTTACGAAATACAAGTTTTCTCTGAAATCGAAAAAAAATGAAAAGTGACGAAAGTTCGAGATTTGATTCTTGAGTCAGCAGTTTCCGAAGATTTGCAGTATCACTTTCGTGATCCTCTTTGGACCGACGAGATACTCGGGTTTAAATCGAATCTCACACATGCGGCCGAAAATAATGCCGCTTTCACCCTCGTGCATTCGAATATAAACTCCGCGCTCTGCCAAGCCATGGCTCGAAAATAGTCGCAGCATTTAGGGTGGCAAACAGTGGCTTTTAGAGCGATGTCTGCACGTGTCGTGACGCAGAAATCTCCCCTTCACCCTTCTCTCGTCTTAATCTCGCATAATCCAATTCGACTGACTTTTCTCGAGAAAATTATTGCATTGAATATATATAACTTGAAGTAAGATGACTTTAGTTTAAAATTGAGAAACGATTAATGATGCTATTTTTTTTATTTCACTAAAAATTTTGAGATGCTGTACCATTATGAAATTGACGCCTGACTTGATAAAAAAAAAATAAAGATAAAAAAGATTATAAATTTCACCGAGAAATCGTTTTTTCATTTATAAACTATGCACGGTTTTTTATCAACATAAAAAATTGTTTCCTATCGATAATATTATTTCGCCGGTAACAACCGTGAAAAAGAGATCTGGAAACGTTTAGATGCGATTATGTAATGCAATAATATTTTACAATAACTTTTTATCACTAGTCGACATTTGTTTCATATTTCATTGATCCGAGGTCAAAACATGAATGTTATTGACGGGACACACCTGTCGCTGCGTGCGAAAACATTTTCGTTCATTAGATCAGGAAAATCGTTGCCAGCTGATGAATATTACCTGAGAAATGTCAAACCAAAAATTGCATTACGTAATATAAATTAATACTTTTGAAAGAATTCGATTCTTTTTCGATCTATATAAGCTCAAGTCAATTGTCTACGATCATCAATAATCGAAATTGCGATTAATGCATCAATTGTAATCGATCATATAAATAAAATGTTAATGAAGTGTCGTTATAAACGAGAATCGAGCGATTCGAGAAGTCTTTCGATCAGTCGATTGTCTTTACTTTTCTCCTCGAGAAAAACAGCGATGTTACACACAGAGTGGTTTTAATCTATAAGCAAGTTTTCCCCACTACTTCATCTAACGTACGTCGATACAGTCAGTAAGCCTTGAGCGCAGACAACACGTTCTATAATAATCCTCGATAAAAGTAAAATCGAGAAAGAGGGAACAATGGTTTCGGCGAAATCGTCCGATTAATCAATAATTCGTGCGAATTAATCGAGCGAAGTTATTGAAAGAATTATTCTGTAATCTGCGATCTATTATGACTAATTATTTATCGTCTTGATTAATTAATACGCAGTATAGATATACTCAAAGAGCTTATAATTCACGATAAAAAGTTTTTATTTATAATTCAAGAGCAATTATACATCCCGACATTTTTACTAAGAAAAAATTGATTGTAGGTAACGAAAAGTAAAATTCTGCGACACCAACCGAGGGATATCGTGTAATATTGTTATTGTAGAATTGATAGAATAAAATTTATGAAGAAATTTTGCCAAAAGCGCAATCTTCTGCGTTGTTTCTGCTCGGAATAAGTCGCGTCTCTCACTTTGTTTGCTATCAAAATCGTTTATTGATAAAGGTGCATATGTTAATTGAACCTTCACAGGTCACGTGGCCATTTAAATTCGAATAAAATTTAATCGTGTCTGTTTCTTTTTTGTTGTTTCAGATTCATATTCGTTGTCTCATCTTGGTAAGTCCTCTCTCTCTCATTGCATGCACGGCAAATTATACTTTTTAGCCTGAATCTTTATTTAATTAAATTAAATTCAGCTTTATTTAAGTTAATATATTTTATAAATTATTTTTTATTTTATTTATAATTATAAATAAGTATAAACTAAATCTCGAGGTATTTTCCGTATCATTATGATATTGCATGCTTTTTAACTCTTGTCTCTTTCATCTTATTCTTTCTCTTTCAT